AGTGCGACCCGTGGCCACAATGCGCTGCTGATGGCCAGCACTCAAGGCGTACAGCACAGGCCCCGGAGACATCAGAATCAGTTGCTTGAACAACGAAGTACCATCAGGAGCAGGTTGCAGTGCGATGGCTAATGCCAAAGTAGCTCCGCTACCATGGCCCAGCAGCGTCAATTGATCGGCATTGGCTCCAAAACTGACCGCATTGCGTTGTAGCCAACGCAGCGCCATTTGAATATCACTCAATCCATAGTTGCCCGGCAGCTGGCGATGATCCTGACCCAACCCCAGCCACCCATAAATATTGTTGCGATACTGCACGCTGACCACAACAATGCCCTCGGCGGCGGCGAAGTCCATGCCGTTTATGCGATTACGCGGCCAGTCATAGGCAAAGTCCTCTCCGCTAATGATGACCAGCATTGGCAATTTTCCATAACGCAAGCCCGACTCAGGTGTCCAGATGTTTAGATAGAGGCAGTCCTCGCTGTTGCTTGCAGCACGGGATATGCTGCCATCGGCGCTCTCGTCATAAATCGTATTTGATAATTGCGGACAAATGGGCTGCATCGCTGTGGCTTGAAGCGTCCGGTTCCACCCATTATGCGGCTTGGCGGCCTAAATGAAATAGAAATATATGAAATTTTAGAGATTATACTACTTATTGATGATTAATTGATATCGATTATTCTGCATAACAGTCTGCTCAAACCAATATTACAGTCTGTTAAAGGATATGTTACAATTACATACGATATCACTGTAAAACTACAGTATAGGGGAATAAATTAAACCTACCGCAAATCGTAGCGATCCCAAAGGCGCCTGTGCATAAGGTATTCCCAGAAATGCATAGACAGCACTTCGTGCTCCGTCTGGAAAAACTTTCAGCTGAAAGGGAAGCAAAAGTTCAGCTTGTATACATATTTGAATATTAATTTAATACTCACACCAATCAGATCGCCCTGCTCCAGTTTAATATGCGTCTGTTGGGCCCAGCAGCCCCACAAGCTGAGCCAAGTTAACAGCAGCCAGTGGAAAAGTCGAAATAGTTGCATCTTTGGAAGGTCTCTTTCACTCTCTAGCACATATTAGGAAGCATTTACTCTTGGACTATTTTTGCGGAATTTTTGCTGATTTTTCTCTGGTTTTTTCTCCGCTGCAATATTCCACGCAGACTCCTTGACGCTGTAACGAAAACTAAAAAAATAAAAGTATTGTACTCGTTGTTGGCAAACGCTGGCTAAAAGTTTATGCTAGAATTACTTCAATTGTTTTCTGGTGTCATTATTGTTAATGCGGTTGCTCTGCTCTGTTCGGGAATCATTCATGCATTCAGGAGATCAACACAGCCAGCGACACCAAAACACCAAACAACAGGTAGGTTTACAGGGTTGATTGTTGTCTAAATACATGAATATGTATATGTGTGTGTGACTAGCATATGTATGTGTGTATTTGTTGATATATGGGTTGTTATAGGCTTTAGCCAGGGCGACTCCCATGCAGACTGGAACTGAAGCCCATAACTTTGAACTCAAAACAACATCAATTGTTGAATGTTCTCCCATTGGAGTGTGTTTTGTAAAGTTATCACGGGTGGGTTACGACAAAACTTTCGCAATATATATTTCTATATATATTTAAGTTGGTCAAATACGTAGTCAAGAAAACGAATATACTACTTGCTTTCAACAGTCATGCCACATTATACATTCCAGTGAGGCATCAAGAAACCGCTGGCAATGATGTGTATATTGCGATGACTATAAACATAAAAGTCGTCTTTTATAAATAAATTAAGAAAAGTAGGCAAACATACATATATTATATTCCCATTAGTAAATTAGAATGCTAACTCTTGTTGCTCGCATTCTGTCTCAAGGGAACTTGTAGAATTTAATTAATATTAACAATTTAATATTGAATAATATTGAAAAATAAAAAATAGAGTGATACAACTGCTGAATGTTTCAAAAGCTGTTATGCGTATATATAGAAAATATAATATTTGCATGTGTGTACAATATATCTAACATTTACCTATATTTATTTCGGATATTCCTCCGTTAGTCAGTTATCACAATTTCCAACTTTTGTGGCAGCCCTCGTTTTGCTTATTTTGTTTTTTATAAATTTCAAATTTTTTATTGAGTTTTAATTTTGCTGCTGCAAAATTCGCAGACTGCGACAGAGAGAGAACTTTACGTCTATGTTTGTTGTTAAATGGAGCTATCGGAGCTTTGGGCATGCAGCAGATAATGTACCATAATATTGGTTTAATTCCGGACCAATGTGAGCAGCAGCTGCTGCTCTCTCACTCTGGTGGTGGATTTGTTTTCTTCTTCTTTTTTTTTTTTTTGCTGGCTCTGTTAGACGAAGCGCAGTTCCGGTCAACGTCGGAGTTGGAGATCGACGGTGCTGGGTCATAATTAACATCTATGTTGTCATAGCAACTTGTGCTTCCATTGGCTCACGCACAGTTATGCATTTAATTAGTTTTTTTTTTTTTCGAGAGCAATTTCCAGACGCGGCGTGAAACACGACGCAGAACAGAGGCTGCCAGAGCAGAAGCAGAATTTTTCATTAATTATGAAGCTATATAATACACATTTAAATTGCCATTTGCCTGAGTTTGCCTCGCTGTGTATCGAGTGTACAACTCTTCTCTCTCTATCTCGCTCTTCCTCTCTCATTCTCCCCTACTCTCTCTCTGTCATCTAATCAATTTATGGCTGTTAAACGTGGGCGTAGCTTTCGATTATTTTAAATTGCATTGATGGCGTCGTTTGGTCAATGGGTCAGTCTCTCTGTGGGCTTTGGACTATTTATTACTATGACTTAAAAAACACAGGTAAAATGTTGTTAAAGAAAGAACATAGGTAACATGTCCACACACACTCGCACTCGCCATCAATTAATCTTTAATTCAAGCCTTTTTGTTTGACTAAATATTCGGGAGCATTTCGAATTGGCCAAAATCAAATAAAGCTGTCCAGATTGTTGGCAGTTGGCAGCAAAAGCTGCTGCGGCTGCGGCTGCTGCTGCTGTCGTTGCTGTAACATTTGGGCCTTATCCGCCGAAACTTGTTCAATAAATTCGTCATAAAAACGTTTGACACAAACTTGGCCAAAACACTTGAAGCACTAGAAAGCAACARCAACAACAACAACCAACAAAATGAAATGTGCCAATGCAAATATAACAGCAACTGAGCAATATATTTGGCAACAGCAACAAAGTTCCGAGTCCAAATTATTTATTTTTGTTTGAATGGGATGCTGCACACAAAGTTTTTGGCTAATGAAAATGTACATGATATTGGAGAGAGTCAGAGTCAGAGACTGTTTACATATTGGCAACTTCTTTATTCAATTTCAGTTCAATAAAAGCCAATTGTCGACTCTTATTAGACATCCTTGCCATATTTTGTTGAGGCGATAGACAAAATCCAAAACATTTTAGCCAGGCTGTGCTGGCAGGTGGGGCAAGCCAAAGAAAGGGGTTGTGCCTGATTGAGCTCTGTCTCTCCTCTCTCTCTCTCTCTCCCTCTCTCCCTCTCTTAGCATACTAGTAATTCAATTTTGATTTAGATTTTTCAACAATGCATGGCATTCATTTTGTTGTGCTCATAGTTATTTATTTTGCATGCTCCTCTTCATCTTCTTCTTCCTGATGCTGTTATGTTATGCATACTTGACGTGCAGCAGAGTGCAAATATTTTGTGCTGCTTTAGATTTTACACAGAGGCATATTCTTATTGCAGGCTTTGCCAACAATTTGTCAACACTTCGAAACAATTTACAGTTGTGGTTGCTGCTCATGAAACTTTTCAAATGCAATGCGACAGGCCAGAACATGTCAAGTATGCATGTGTGGTCTGCCTTGTCCTTTGCTTTAATTTATTTTTGCATTCTTTATTCAATGTTCATAATGTGAAATTCCATTGAATGTTAATTAATTTCAGAATTTTTGGCAATTTTTAATTGGATGTTTAGTGCATGTTTAGTGACGTTTATGAGTCAGACCCCCCAAGCAGTAATGCCAATTGCAGTTGTGGTACTAACAACAGGAATTATTTCGGTTTTCAGCGCTCACATCAGCAACAATGCAGCATAATATAATTATGTAATTAGCTGGAGCAACAGCAGTGCCAGCAAATTTGTGAGAGAATGTTTAGCAAAACAATGGCCAAAAAGTTGAAGTGCTTGTTTCGCTTCTGCTGGTTGCTGTTGTTGTTGCTGTTGTTGCTGTTGCTGTTGCTGCTGCTGCTGCTTTAAGCCAAATTGTGGCAGACATTTTGTTTATGCAGCTAAATCCTACACGGCCTGCACTTAACCAGCTTGTATGTAGACACACACTCACTTACACACACACAGAGACATACATACATATGTAAGCGGCGTGACTGTGTGCTTGTTTTACACGTGCTCTTTATAATTAATGCTAACAAATTTTGCGTTGAAAAGGAACTGAAAACATAAGCGACTCACTCGCATAGCCCACTTTAGCGCCAGCAGCATTCCAGTTGGCTTAGCAGAGAAGCAGCAGCAGGAGGTGGGGTGGGGGGGTCTGGCAAATGACTCTGTGAATCAGTTCTCCAACCATTTTGTTGGCCTACTCAGCTAGCCACACAAATAAGCTAACAAAAATGAAGCATATGCAGAAAAGCAGCTGCTGCTGCGCGTCCTTGGCAATGTCAGCTGCATCAGGCAGCCACCAAACGACAGAGGGCGCCACTGTGCATGTAACACAGGCAATGTGATTCTCAAATAGTTGCATTTCATAATGATTAATATGCATTTCTGTATCAAAAATATACTAAATATAAATAAATAATACTAAATGTATATAATCATATATATAAATCATACGTATAAAGAATAACAATTGGGATAATTTTAAATGCTTGACCCAATACCCGCATTGAGTAATAAATACATGGAGGGGGTGCTTAATCGGTCCATTTTAGACTTCTGAGTCAGTTGCAATCATGTGATCAGATGCTGGGTATAAAACGGCTGGGATTCTGTGAGGCAAACATCAGTCGCAGTTGAACCCAAGAGCTGCAGCAAAATAAGAGTTACATTGGTGATTGGATACCTAGTGGTGATTGCTGGCTGCACGCTGGGCTGAGCAACCTTCGCCGAAGATCAACTCGAAACGGAGTGGAATTCCTACAAGAGCGAGTTTGGCAAGATCTACGATGAGTCAGAGGAAAGGTTGCGCAAGCTGATCTTCGGGGATAATAAGAAAATCATCGAAGCACACAACGAACGCTGGGCCGCAGGAGATGAGGGCTACGAGATGGGTCTGAATCAGTTCTCAGACATGCTGCCAAACGAGGTCAGCGAGGCGATTGGAACAGATGCTGAAACGGGATTTGATGAAGATGTGGAAGTGGACATGGAGTCCTATGATTGGAGCGATGATGAAAACTTTGAGCTGTCACCCAAGGTAAACTGGACCCAGCTGGGTGCAGTTTCGCCCGTCGCGTTTCAGGGACACTTCAACACCTCCTGGGCCTTTGCTGCGGCTGGCGTGACGGAGAGTCGTCAGTTCATTAAATCCGGAAAACTGCAAGTGCTCTCCAAGCAAAACCTTGTCGATTGCTGCAAGGCCGAAAGCAATTGGCTTCCACGAGCTCTGGTGTGTATTAAGAAGATGGGCGGCATTGACACGGAGGCTTCGTACCACTACCGTGGACTGACCGGCAAGTGCCAGTTCAAGAAGAAGTCTGTTGCTGCCCGAATCAACAAGGTTTTCAAAATATATTCCAGAAACGAAAAAGCTTTGGCATACAGCGTGTCCCAGGGTCCGATAGCTGCTGTGATTCCATTTACAGCGATTGTCCACTACAAGAGCGGCGTCTACGACAATCCCCACTGTGGACAGAGCGCCAATTATGCTGTGCTCATCGTGGGCTACGGCCATTGCAAGCATTTCGGAGACTATTGGATCCTCAAGAGTTCTCTGAGTCCCCACTGGGGGGAGAATGGCTACATGAGGCTGGCACGCAACAAGAAAAATCTGTGCGGCATTTCCAACAATGCCTTCTTTCCAGAAATGAAGTAGACGCTCCACAAAGTGCTTTAGCATTACGGAGTGATTCATTAATTTACTTTATTTACTAATCATCTGAATATTAAACTCCAATTAATTTTTCTAAAAATATGCCAATAAATAAATCAAATGTAATTGCAGTTATTGCAAATTGGGCTAATTTGAAAATGTATTTTTAGTAAAATTTTTATACCCTGAACCCATTTTCAATGGGAAATCAGGGTATAATGGTTTTGTTGAAATGTATGTAACAGGGAGAAGGAGGCGTGGCAGACCCCACAAAGTATATATATTCTTGATCAGGGTGACGAGCTGAGTTGATTTGGCCCTGTCCGTCTGTCTGTCCGTCTGTCCGTCTGTCCGTCTGTCCGTATGCGTGTGTGTGTATGTGTGCCTGTGTGTGCGTACGTGCCTGTGTGTGCGTGTTTCTTGTGTAAGCTGAAAGACGCGAAAAATTATTGAAATATCTATTGCTCCAAGGGTTCAGGGGATCTCGTAGTCGAGCAGTCTCGACTAGAGCTTTCTTACTTGTTTACTATTAATTTAAAACAAAACAATACAAAATTTAAAGAAATGAAATACTAAAAAATATTCAATTTATGCATATCAAAAACATTTTTATCCCACCAAGGCATCGTCTTCAAGTTTGCGATTCCACCTTTGCCATGTCAAAGGTCTAATTAATATTCACGAAACGTATGCATATTTTGTTGGCATGTGTAATTAGCTGCACCGCGACGAATGTTGTGAATGTATTTAAAATGCATGTGCAAATTGATATGCTTCTCTGCAGGCGCCATTTAATGTTATTAATGAAGTTCATTGCATGTCATGCCATCTCGCTTCAGCTCGTTCGCTGCACGGGCAAAGCCATACGAAAACCACAAAATTTTATTGCATGCTTTTAGGCGCCGCCATTTTGCGAGTGTCGCAGCGGCAGAGGCAGCGGCAGCGGCAGAGGGAGCAGCAGCCGCAGCAATGCAATTTATTAATTTGCAGGTGCAGAAATTGTTGGGCAAAAAGTTTCAGCTGTTTATTTATGTACATGTACATGGGTGTGTGTGTGTATGTGTGTGTGTGAGTACATGTGTACTTACATTGGGCATGTCTGGAAACTGCTTGAAAAACAATTTTGTGTCGAGGATGAGGGAGGACATGTTTTGTTGCTCAAAACTTTGCTAATTCCTTTCGCAAACTTTTTCTAAGGTGTTGAGTTTGTCATCTAGTTGTTCCAGTTGTTGTTGTTGTTATTGTTTACCCGAATGTAGTTGCTATGCGTGTGAGGGAATAAAATTGCATTGAAAGTCTCATTTTCATTTAATTTTTATTCAAAAATCACATTTTTGTTTATTTATTTTTTGTTTTGTTTTGTTGTTTTTGTTTTGGTTTTCGTTTGCTGTTTCGGCGCGAGCTGCTGTTCAATAATATAATATTAATTATCATTTTATATTTATATGTTATGCTTACTAGATTGAAGTTTCCATTTATGTAATTTACATTCTGTTTATGTTTCTGCTCTGTTTTGTTTATATATATATATTGTTTTTTTGTTTTTTGTTTTGGTTTTCTTTTTTTCTTCTAGTATGACCTTCCACTGCGTTTCTCTGTTTTGCCTTAAGCTTTAACAACTTTTAACTATGCAATAAGCACATCCACATTAAATATTCTTATTCTTTCTTTCTTTTAGCAGCTGAACATTTATTACAAGTATTTCAAATGTGTGTGTGTGAGTGTGTACAAAAGTTGCATTAATTAAAAGTAAATATTAAATAAAATAAAAGTTGCATCAATGGAGATTTGTCACCTCAAATTGCAGATGCATTCAGGGCAATATAAAGTTTAAAAAAATTTAAAAAAAAAATTGTCAAATTGTAATTAAATCAATTTTTACAAGTGACGCAAACATGTTGTGTGCACAAAACTTAATTGAAGCCGCACAATCGATGGCCAAGTGAATAGGTTCAATTGCGGCCAAAGTATATATGTATATTTCCCTTATTAATAATAAATTATTATGTATTAGACTTTCTTTGCACTTGGAAATAAATGGTTTGCAAAGCATTGGATTTTATGCCTGATCAAGTTATTGTCTGCTGTCTCTCTTTCTCCCTCTCCCTCCCTTTCTCTATCTCTCTGCATTTAATAAACTCTAATAAATTAAATAAATTAAAATTTTTTTACACTTTTTTTTAACCCTATTTAACCAAAAATACAATTTGAGCCTCAATACTTATATAACTAAAAATAATTGTTATTAAACATCAGAAAATATTTTTATTTTTTTATTTATTTTTTTTTCCTTTTTAGAAAATCGAACTCTGACTCTTAATGAAATAA